GGCTTGGAGCAACCTGCTCTAGTGGAAGGTGTCCCTGCCCGTGGCAGGGGTTGGAACTGAAGGAGCTTTAAGGTCCCTTCAACCCAGACCAGGCTGGGATTCTATGAAACCCAGGGGAGCAAGAAAATGATCTATTTTTTCAGCCCAAACCCCAAATGCTGAGGCCGTGCCTGATGTGTGTGTTTCTGTTCTCTAGGTGCGTGTTACTATGACTCTAACCAGTCGATGTACGTGTTTGGTGGCTGCACACAGAGCAGTTGTAACGCTGCCTTCAACGACCTCTGGAGACTCGACCTGAACAGCAAGGAGTGGATCCGGCCCCTGGCATCAGGTGAGAAATGCCACCATCAGCCAGGTGAGGTGGCAGATGTGCAAAACCACCTCAGCCCTGGGCTGGCTGCTCTGAGTCTGGGTTTCCCCACATGTTTTATCATTATCTGACCAGTTTTCAGGTGATATTGGGGAGGGGGGGTTCTGGCCACAGACTTCAGTATCCTCATGCGCCTGCAGCACCGTGCTGGGTTGTTCCTCTTTGTCTGGATGAGCAGCTCGGTGCCAGTTCGTGCCGTGCGGGATGAGTGACACTTCCCTGTGACCACAAGAGCCTGTCTTGTTAATAATTGATCTCTCAAAGCTGAGACATTTGTGTTCTTTAATAGCCTTGGTAGCTGCCACCTCAGGTATGTTGAGGAGTGGAGGAGACATGCCCGTGCGGGCTACCCACAGCGTGGGAAAGCAGGTACATTCCTGCAGTCCCTGTGCTCAGGGCAGGAAAACACCACAACTGATTTCCCACACTGGGGTTTGGACTCCAAACGTCACACACACGCTGTGCCTGTTTTCCTTCTGCTGCTCAATTTGACTAAAATAACTTTGGAGACAAGCAGAAGAATTGGGGGAAGCTCTTTGGGGGAGGAATGTCAGTGTTAAAGCAGTCATTTCAGTGAAAGCTTGATGTGTAACCAAGAGTAGGAGGAAGAAAAGGAGCTCAGCATCCACCAACCACTCCTTGCTGATGTGTCTGCTTGGGTGCAGATCCTCCTTCATTGTACTCTTAAGTATTGTGGATTACTCAGTTGTTATTTAAAGTCATATTTTCTTGTCTGACACTTCTTTCCCTTAAATGAAGTCCTCCCAAACCCTGATGTTTCTGCATACTGGTGTCCTCTGGGAACTGGTGCGCTGTCACTTTGACATGGTAACATGTAACTCGGTGCTTGATGACTGCTTCTGCAGGTTGATACCGAGCAACTCTTCATAGTTTGACTTTTGCATCTGCACATCCATTGCATGATGCCTGCAGGTGAGAATTAACCAGTCATGGACTTAAAACGGAGGGAGGAAAGCAACCACAGCCTGCACCTATGTGGAAACCGGCTCTCGCTCTTCCCGCTTCCCTGCTGGAGCTCTCTCCCTGTGCTCAGGGGTGGAGAAGAGGCCATGGGTAGCATAAACAGGATACTGGGCGATGCAGACCTCTGCTCTGACCCAGCACATCTATTCTTCCAGCCCAGCGAGTTCTTCCGTCACATTGAATGCGGGGCACGACTCGCAGTCGTGTCCATGGCTCCAGCGGCCGGCACCCAGCTCTGCTCACTCACCCTCCTGGGATTTCACCAAGTCAAATTCCCACTGCCTTACTAACAGATTTCACTTTGAAAAGAACGAGTCCTGTGGGAATATGTGTCAGAGTTAAGTCCCATGGGAAGATCCCCCGAGGAAATCTTTCTGCATGCTGTCACGAGCGCGTGGAGCGAGATGGGATCGCAACTGAAACTTCAGGCAGCCTCGCCAAACAGAGAGCTCTTGTTCCTTGGTCTGCAGAGGAGATGAGTCACTCCCTGCTTGTGCCCCTGGTGCTATCTTACACATAACTGCTTGTATCTTACACATCACTGCTCTCCTTTTTGTATCTTACACATAACTGCTCTCTTTTTTAACTTGGTGCCTTTAACCAGAGGGTTGGCACCCGCCGCCTGGGAAAGAATAGTGGCTGGAGGGGGCAAAAGCTGAGAGCTTTGAAACTCAGGAGTCAGATCTAAATAAGGCAGGAGAGATGTTATTCTTTACAAGAGTTGACATTGATGGATTAACCCTCGTTGTGTGCAGACTAATTGCTGCTGGAGCTTGAGGAGTTCCCACACCTGCCCCTACGGACTCTATAGGGTAGGTCTTGCTCCAGGATAAGGCACTGGCTGTTCCATGAGGCCAGTTCTTGCTCACAGAGCTTGGATCACACTCTACTTGCACCCTTATTAAGCGTGAGCATCTTATCTAATGAGACCTGGGTAGGGCTACCTAAAGAGACTGGGAGAACAGTGCCAGGGCAACACGAAATGCCTTGGACATGGGTGAGCTGAAACGACTTCATCCCTTTCCCCTCTCCAAAGGGCTTTTCCAGGAGAAAACGCCCTTTTCTGTTGTTGTTTGTTCATACCTGTTTTTCCTTTGGGTTTTCTTCCTTGCAGGCATTAGATGACATCAGAGCTGGATAATTCCTCTCCAGCCTGAGCTGCTGCACTTCACCCAGCAGTAAATATTTAGCCTTCAAAGGAGTAATTGGCCTGTGTTGCTTTTAGTCTCGGAGAGGAGGAGGGAGATAATTGCTTCCAAAAACCCTAATTTTTGAGGTTGCAAAGTATTTCTGTGCTTAGATCTAAAACAATGGCATTGACTCTTGACTTATTAGGCTGGAGCAGAACAAGAGAGTCAACGCCTGGCTTTTATGCAGTGCTTTTTCCTGGTGGGGCTCAACGCTCCACAAAGGAGGGCGTAAGGCAGCAGGAGCTCTATTTTAGGAACGTGAACAGGAATGTCTCTAAACTCTTCTCCCTCAAGCTCTTTTGGCCACTTTGGAGCTGTTTTCTACCTCCTCCACTCCCACATATGAGTCTTGCCAGAGCAGGAGGGGAGTTGTAATTAATGGCCCTGGCATTACGTGGGAAGGCTGCAATGTTATCCCGGGGTAGGTGGTCCCTGGGAGGCAGGAGCTTTTCTCCATGTGTTAAGGATGCTTGCTTTATTCTTTCTTTATTTGCATAATTAACCTGGGCACTTGTTTGACTTTTAGCCTATCTGCACAAGAGGAGAACCCGATAGAGAGGACTGGAGGTGGTTTACTCTGGAGTCTGTTGATCCAGCTGGAGGCAAGGGTTAGTCTCAACTCTAACTCAAGCTGCAGCACGCAGCAAGCGAGGGCACAGGCAGGATGGCTTTGGTGGCAATAATCCTCTAGTACCCCCCCAAAACAAGCTCTTGCGCAGCTGAAACAGCCAGGAAAGAAACCAAACCCCTTTGGGATGGAGATTGCCAGGATTTCACGCCACGGGGGATGCTGAGGTTCCCATGGTGGGGGCTTTGGCGTGGGGTTGAGTTGGCTGATGCAGGTTGAGTTGGGTCTGCTGTGCTGGTGGCAGGGAAGGTTTGTCCTGTTTCCGTGTGTTTGTGAAGCAGTCTGGATGAGATCCCTTCCGTCTCTGCACTGAACACTGCTGACAGAGGCTGCCTCAGCCACCAACACTGACCCAGGACCTTCACCATCATCTCTGTCTCCTGTTGTGTCCTTGGGCTCCAGGGGATAACTTAGAGGTATATCCATATCCCCAGGCAGTTTTCCTTCTGGCCTGCCCATGCTCTTTCAGACTGTGTGTTCCTGCAGACTTTCTTCTTTCCTGTACTTGTTAGTTTATATTTCTCAGGAGCCCTGCACTTGGCCTCTGCCTACACTAAACTGGGAAATAACTTTTATAAATCAGAGAGAAAAATGCCAGGAGTTTTGCCCATGCTCCTGGGGGCTTAAGGACAGGGATAGAAAGCTTTTCTTTCCCAAACCAAGCCTTTTGCTATGCTTGCAGAGTAAGGAATGATGTTATAAAGAGCAGGTCTTTGAGGGAGAGGGATGTCAGCTGGAGTCCTACAGGATCTGCACATCCTCCCTGTTGTTTCTGCTTTATCATCCTCAGCCAAGCACGATCCTCTCCTTTGCTCCCATCTTCTCTCCAGCTACCTGGGGAGGCAGGAGAGCTGGAAAGGCCCCAGTTCTCCCCTTGGTGCCATGTGTTTTCCCACTGGCAGGCTGTGAGATCCCACTGTGCTGTCAGGGGACTTGAGGAGGCTCATAGTGGAAGGCTCTCCATGTGCCCACCCTTCCGCGGGGGAGCTGGGACTCCAGGACTTGCTTCCTGGTGTTTTCCTCTCCCTGCGGTCTCACTGCATTTGCTTTGTCTGGGAGATGGGAAAGCTGCTCATCTCTCTCAGGATCTAGGATAAAACCAGGCTTGGAGGTAAAACTTGTTCATTGGATGCTCTGATCCCCTCTGTCCATGTTCACAGTATCAAGGCATTACCACATCAGAGTGGCTGATGCTCCCTGCTTTAGCCTGAAAACGAGTAGAAACCATGAGCCTGAAGTTTGCGCTTAAAACCTCCCAGGTAGCCTTAACCCAACACAGTAAGTGTGCAAAAAGCCCTCTCCCACGTTGGTTGTTGGTTCTTCTTGGCTCTGTTCTTCCCCCAGGTCCTCTCAGTGCTTTGAGTGGGAGCTGCTGGAGTTTAAGGCTCAGGTTTCCCCTTGTGAACTGAGGGAAAGGTGCCTTTGATGGTGTTGTGTCAACAGAACTAACAGCCTAAAGGAGGTAGGAGAGACTCTGCTGTCACCTGCCCGAGGTGGTTGTATCAGATGTGGTCCCTGGGAGTTGTGGAGCGGTTTGTCCTTGATAAAGCTCTGCAAAAACCTTGCCTGGAGCCAAAAAAAACCCAACCCTGTTTTCATCAGCCCCTTTGAGAAACCAGGGCAAGTGCTCAGAACAGTTGGTGAAGTCTTATAATGCTGGTCCTGGTCTGGAGTGAGTTTCCTCCTCAGGGAAGTGAGCTTTGTGGAGCCGAGAGGAGCCATGAGCCACAGCAAAGGACTGCGCTTCCCAAGGGATGGAGACGGTTGTGCAGGGGTGATCCAGCCAACATCCAGCCCACCACATCCACACATCAGTGCAGCACCGTCATGCCAGGCAGTCCAGGGGAGCACTGGGGTTTCTATGAGTAAATACTCATTAGAGTAGTGGAAACCTCCTCCCGTGTGGATTTAAACCCCACTGTGTCTGCAGAGCTCCTGGGAGCATGCAGGTTGTTCTGTCCTGGGTTGTGTTCTGCATCATCTTGTTTCTGAACAGCTGGAACTGGCTGAGACTCATCACCGAAACACACAGCCCTGACCCCGTGTTCCTCTTCCCCTTGCAGCGGGACTGAGCTCCTGGTAACACAGCGAGTGATCCAAGGCACATCTTTGCTTTGGGGATTAAAAACCCCCACAAAACCATGCCCTGCCTGTGCTAA